AACGTATATTAATATATGTGTGTTAAAAGTGACTCTAAGATGATATTGTTTTTTTAGCCACTGACTTTATATTATGAAAAATGAATGGTCAAAATCTATTTTGTATGACTTTCCTCCGATCTAATATGATTACTATTTTTGTACGGAGTGAGTAATCTTCATTATCCTCCCAAGGTTTCCGTCTTCTTCCCCAACTGGCCCAAATCCCTAAACAAACTCCAAACGTCCAAAATCTCATGCCACCGCAATCGAGCATCCATGATCACCTCTATGCCCAACTCACTCACACACATGGTTTCCTTAAGGGTGGACTCTTGGAGCGGGACATAGCCATCTGTCTTTGTCCGATTCGCAAAACCCTCACGTGCCTCATCTTTGAATGTGGGAGCTAAGAGGCTGCTTGGGTTCCAGCAAGCCTTGCCTGGCTGAGCAACCCTTGTCTTGCTAGGGCAGGGGAGCCAATTTGGCTCTCCCACACAAGCAAGGCAAAAAAAACTTGTCCGTACGGACTACGAGGTAAGCTGGCTCAAGAACTAAACACAAGTTTACATCTGATTTCTCTTACCTAACAAGGCAATACAGAGGATAGCAAAGAATCCAAGCAGCCCCTAAATGATCAAACTCAAAAAGGTCTGGACACGGCACCCATCGAGTGCTTTGCTTTCACATTTCAACCTTTGCCCTTTCCTTTCTTGTAGAATCTAGTTCTCTTTGGACCAAAGCCTGAGACACAACCTCACGAGTAAAGGAGAAAGGAAGATTCATCAAAAAAAAAAAGTGAAGGGGAGAAAGGAAAATGATTGAAATTCGCACTGGTGGACACCGTGAGATTCTGAAACCGGAAGACCGATCGGCGGATAGATCCCCAAACCGAGCCCAAACTAGCCGGGCAGTTACCGAAATATCCACTCTGCGCTAGTTTGGGCGCCGGAAAGCGTAGGGGTCACGTTCCTTGACGCCTGCTGTCGGCACGCACGGTTACGGCACCGCAGGCTGCAAAGGTCCCATTCGTTTTGCTAAAAAAACAAACCGAAATGCTGTTCTAGTTGATTTGCTGTATCAGAAAAATACTGTTCTAATTAAAAAAATAAACTGAAAAAAATGGATTATAAAGAAAGCGGCCAAAAACGTGAGTGCGCTAAAAAAAACATATCCCGGCATGTGCCCAGAACGAAGAGAGTGATGGGAAAAAGGACGGAGCAAGTAGCGGGGCAGAGGAACAGGCAAACTACGCACTCACTCTGAGGCGATGCGATTGTGCGGGCAGTCCAATCTGCCTGGCAGTCTGAAACGGGAGGAAGGCACGGTACGATTGGCCGAAACAATCAGTGAATCACGTAGAAGCACAGACGCGCAATGCAAACAAAGTGATAAACAGTAGAAGTGCTCCAGGCAGCAGATCTGGTGCAATGCTAGCTGATCTGTCCGTCAGACAAAACGGTATGGGACTGCCGTCCTGCACTCCTGCTGCTCCCAATCAACACTCAACAGCCATGTCCGGCTTGCTTTTCCAATACGGTCTATGCGGCAAGCAAGCCAGAGAAGTAAAGGAACCGCGGGCTCAAAACCTGAATGGGCTCAGAGCTCTTCAGCCGCTGGCACCACAGGGCCTGGATGGTGGCATGGACCAGGACCATCATGAATCCCTCCCTCCTGAGTCCCGACTCCTGAGCATATATCCAATTGAAAAATCAATGAAAAAATAGGCAGGATCCTTTCTCTCACTTTTCAGAGGAGCAGGAGTAGGTGGGAAAGTTAGTTCTCTTACCTGAATTAATCCTCCCTCCTGAGCATATCCAATTGAAAATTCAATGAAAAGAAGGCAGGGTCCAGGAAGAACAATAAACAAAACGGTTGGATTTGTGCATGATTGCATAGGTCAGGATCAAATCAGAGGGCTACAACTAGCACCCACGGAGCTAAAGGACGAAGATGATCTTGAATTTCCATGAGAGGCTTCTGGACCATGGAGCCAGGGCTAGGCCGAAGTGCTCCACACGTAAGCAGCAGCGAGCATATCAGACCACGGCTGATAGAAACGCTCGAACAACCAATCTTTGGGGGTAAACTGGTTAAAGGTCTTTGCTGCAGGACAGACATGACGATTACAATAGCACAAGGCGGCAAGCTGCTTGGTTTCGTGCAGTCACTTCGTCGTACGATGTCGCTGAATATATAAAATGTTCTGATATGAAATAGCATTGCGTTCTGTAATCCGAAGAGTAGGTGTTTTGGTAGGATGTTGTTTGGTCGTCATCTCAAGCTTAGAGCGTGATTTAAACCAAAACAAATGTAGAAAAGAAGGAAAAAAGGGTCATCTTTGGAGGCTTGAAGCCTAATCCTAGACAGAAGACAGTACCGTACTCCTATGTCGGTACCAGTAAATTTTTTTTTTGAACAAAGTTAGCTGGCGCAGCGTAGTTTTTTTTTTTGGCTGGTTGCTGCGATCTGTTCTGCCATGTGTTTTTCAGTTTCTGTCAAATTCATTTCAGGGGCCATCGGGAAGCAGCAGCAGCAGGACGTAAACACAGTACTGTTGCCATGTGACCTCAAGCGTGAGGCCCATGGGATGGGGAGGCACAAAGAGAAGAAGAGTACGGCGCGGTCCAGAGGCAAGTCCAAACCCAGGCGGGCCCACGAGGCGAGAGCGGGAACAAAGCAAAGTGAGCGCTCACCGGTGCAGCCAGCAACTGCAGGTAAGGATGAAAACGGTCGAACTCGGTCGAAAAACTCATCAACCGTTTTCTATTTTTATATTTGAAATATAAAAGCGAAAGCGGACAAGCCGGACACGAAAACGAACACGAATTTATGGAATTCTAGAATTTCAGAAACGAACCAATTCGAGCGGAATTATGTCGAACACGGTCGGTATGCGAAAATTCAATACGAAATACCGACCCACAGTGTATAGCATTAAACAAGTGCATGACCAAATACATAATAAGTTCACAACTAACAAGTGCATGATCTAATTCAAGTGCATAGCATTAAACAAGTACATGACCAAATACATAATAAGAGAGAGATGAGGCTGGGCGCCGTCTATAAGAGAGGGCAGCTAGCCACCAGTAGAAAGAACGCAGCTGCGTGATGAGCAGCCTGTAATTGGGCTGTATGACCTGTGCAGTTGGCCAAATTCAGTTTAAACCGAATTTTGAATTCAGAATATTTCAAATTAAAAGTAGAAAAGTAGAAAACGGTCGAAAAATGTGTAAACCGTTTTCTACTTTTACATTTGAAATACGAAGCATCTCAAATGCGAAAGAAAAAACGGTAAAGTCGGACAAAAAAAAATGTGGATTCGATCGAATTAAATATAGAAAACGATACGGTTCGGTTTGAGATATTTCCGTTCCGTTTTCATCCTTAACTGCAGGTGTCCCGTCCAAATCAGACGCGGACGGAGGCGAACCAAGCACGACGCCGCGGATCCCCACTCATCCCCTCCTCCGCGCCGCACTCCCGTGCCTCGTCCCCGCCGGTGGGCGAGGCGGCCGTGATCGCGAGTGAGTGACCCTGAGCCTGACCCAACCGGGCCCCAAGCCCCAAGGTTCGGCGTCGGCGTTGGCGCATGGAGGACAAGTGCCAAAAACCCCCCATCATTGCCCCAGCCCAAATACGCGAGGAGCCGAGGACCATCCCGTCCCGCCCGCCGCCCGGTCCCCGCAGCCGTCGCGCCTCCGCGGAGCATCCCGTGCACACGTCGCCGTGTCGGTCGCGCGCGCTACGTGTGACTACGTCCGTATGGCTCCTTCCGCCTACGTCTCCACCATACCATACTTCCATACACGACACGCCCAGCTTTCGCTGCCCATCTCGCTTTCACGCCTCCACTCGCTGGTCGCTGTGTTTCAGCCTGTTCGGCTGAGCTCGATCGTTCTAGCTAAAAATTTACGATCGTTTACGACTGAGCGAACAGACCGTTTGTTCGCATCATCTGACGCCGATCCTTCACAGCGAGTCAGCGACCCTTCACAGCCTCACTAGTCCAACGTTACGCACTTACGCGTGTCCTTCTCACTTTCCCCTATATACGGTGTCCACAGTGACACTCTACTGCCACCCTGGGTTAGCGTAGCAACGTGCTAGTCGTCGCGCCTTCAACATCATCGTCCTATCATCTTCTTTACACGATATAAACAGAAAATACTAGGCCAAAACATGCCACGTTACATCGCTCGTGGTGACAAATGGAAGCAAGATAACGAAAGTGAAGATCGAAAGCGTTGTTTGTTTCAAAAAAAAAGATCGAAAGCGTTGATAAAAGGAACCTTTTTTTCCCCTCTTGGTGCAACATAAAGAAAGCGAGGCTGGTGGTGTGAAAGATAGACACTTCTGCTGCCATCAACAGATGAACTCTCTCTCTCTCACACCTTGCCCTTTCTCTTTACACAAAAAACAACATCATTGCTTATTTTATTCTTTCACTTGACCTAACATATATACGGAGAAATATATATTATATTTTAAATGAAGCAGAACAATACACAAGCTAAGGAGGAGATGACAGGGATACGGTATACATGATGCTATATATGTATGTATAGAGTATATATGATGAATCTGTACGGCGATTATACAGGATGAACGGCATGATGAGATGACACTGGTCGTGGTGGGGATATAATGGTAATTAAGGGCATGCTAATCAGTGACGCCACACTCATCATCACGGGATAATGAATCACATGATGGCGCAGGCGTAGGAGGGGTCCTCCTCGCAGACGATCCAGGGGTTGCAGGGATACGGCTGGGGCACGTACTGCGGGTAGTACTGCGGCGGTGGCGGCGCCGGCGGGGCAGGCTCCGGGGCCTTTCCGCAGGAGCAGCAGTGGCACCCACCGTGGCCGTGGTGGCAGCAGCAGTCGGACGGCCACGCCGGGTACGGGTACGGGTACGGCCACGGGTAAGGGACCTCCACCACCTTGGGTGGCGGCGGGGCGGGCTTCTCCTTGGGTGGCTCCTCCTTCGGCGGTGGGGGTTTCTCCTTCGGCGGCTCAACTATAGCCGGCGGCGGCGGGGCGGCTTCTCCTTCTTCTCCGGCGGTGGCGGGGCCGGCTCCTCCTTCTTGGGCTCCTCCTTGGGCTTGGGCGGCGGGGCTCGACGATCTCGATCTGCTTGATGATCTTGCACGCCTTGCAGCAGAGCTTGTCGGCGAGCTTGTCCGGGTCGAAGGGCCCCGTGACTTTCACCTTGTTGTTCTTCTCGTCGAAGTCGATGTCATCGATGCAGAACTCACCCTTCTCTGCACGATGCACGGTGCACACAGCAACAACAAAACCGCGGCATCCATCGTCCCAAGAAATTTATCAGTTGCCATCGACGAAGCAGCTCAACACCACAAATGGAAGGAAGAACAAACAGACCTTGGATCCTGTTGAGCACCTTCTGGATCTTAGCACGGCAGCGGCCGCATTCCAGGTCCACCGAGACGATGATGGTCGGCATCTGCTCTGCACACAGCTCCCTGGTCACAACGAAATCCTTTCCTCTAGTCTAGATAAACAGAGAGACGCAGCATACGCCCACAGACAGATGCATCAACAATTTCATGCACACACACAGAGACAGACGAGGACAACAACCTGTGTGATTGCAACTGGTTTATGGCGGCTACCAGCACGAAATAAAGACAAGAATTTGGAAGGAGAGCAGAGAAGAAGCAAAGGGGCTCGTTTGAAGCGTGGAACACACTCCACTCCAGAATAAATAAACAAACTCATTAACAGGAGATAGGACAGCCGCTCTTGCCATCAAAGAGGTTTGGCCAAAGATCAAATCAGCACTCTTTAAGTAATAAATTCCACGAATTCTCATCTTAAAGAGTGAAGAGCGAGAAAGGACAGGGATGAGCAGAGCACCTTGATTCAGCCTGCCGGCGCCAGCAATGGCAGGCCGGGGAGGAGGAAGAAGACCTGTGCTGCGACGCGAAGAAGAAAGAGAGGAAGGGAGGGGGGGAGGATGCTGTGGCGTGAATACGTGGCTATATAAGCAAGCACCAACGCCTGACTGCCTCCCACGTCATCTGACTCATCTTGGAGGAGCCGTGGCGATGACAAAAGTAGGGGGAGAAGAACTAGCAGCAGCCACGGAGAAGGAAGAAGCAACTAGAGAAGGAATAGACAGAAAGGCCCTTTGGAAGGCAGCAGCAACCGGCGGCAACAGCAGCACTGCCCGGGGCTACCTTCCCTGCACCACGTACGCCACCACCACCAAAGCTCGGTCGGCGTCGCCGTCGCGGCTGTTATTTGTCGTTGTTCCTCTCCAGGATGATTACCGCACGGCTACGCCCCCCAGAAGGCTCGCTCCGAACGTTTCAAATCAAATCGCTCCTTTTGCTTTCAGAACTGCTATATAGCAACCGAGTGTGTGAGGCTTTGCTTTTGTGATGATGAAGTGAAAGTACGGCATTGCGCCACTCGCTCGGGTGCTTTCACGTCAAGTGAGGCATGGATGGCACGGTTCGTTTCGTGACGCCGATGGTGCCGCCGCGAGTGACCGCGCGTGAGTAGTCTTTGTTCTGGTTCCTTCTGATAAAGGCACGAAGCAGAGGATTTCAACCTTTGTTTTCGTCCGGAAAGGTCGCGTCGGGTTCATAAACCCGGGGTCCCTAATGGACCTGCTTTCCTACAAATCTCGGCCTAGCAGGTGGCGCAACGACAACGCACGCCTGGGCCGACCCAGATACACAATAACAGGCCAAGACCACGATCCGGTCTCCGACCGACACCTCCGACCTTTGGCTCGCGGGCTCTGCCTCGCTCGACCTCTGTGTCGTGGGCTCCGCCTCGCTCGACCCTAAGGCCGCGGGCTCCGCCTCGCCCGACCCCTTGGGTTCAGGCTCCGTCTCGCCCAAGTCCACGGGCTCCTTCTCGCCGACCTCTTGGGTTCGCGCTTCGTCTTGCCCGACCTCGAGGCCGCGGGGGTCTCGCCCAAGGCCGCGGGCTCCGTCTCGCCCGGCCCCTTGGGTCCGGGCTCTGTCTCGCCCAGACCTGGTCGGAACCCTAACTGGAAGGCCTCGCCGTGGTAGGATCGCAGTCCGACTCTGACCCCGTTCCTCCGACTGAGGATATGCCAGACCTTTGCTCGTCTCTCTTTCCCGACCGACACGATCGGGGACGACTGGGAACGACCGACCGGGGACGCCCGCTCGGTGTGAGCCTGGGAAGCAGGCGGAGCAGAAAAGGTAAGGCGCTCAAGTCAACTGTAATACCGAGGACCGTACACTGCCATACCTTGCGCACCTGTTGGACGGTGCTACCAGGTCATGACAGACGGACACTATACAACCTCCTAGATGCGTCAGACCACAAATAGTATTGTGGGCGTCATCGTTTGCCGTACCAAGCGAACACGGTAGAGCCTGCTAGACGCGTTTGGGCATAAACAGTATTATGGGCGCTGGCAGCCATCCCGTACCCGATAGCGTGAACAACAAGACTAGGCATAACACATATACACACACACTCTCTCTGACTTGTAAGGCCATCCCTTTCAACTATAAAAGGGGATGCGATCTCTCCTGAAAAACGACTTCTCTCTTAAAGACTCTCTCGACGACTCGAGAACAACAGCTCAACAGCTGATAAGTTGGGACACATAGAGCATACGCTCCAAGACTTAGCATATGTTAGAGCCCCGTCACTATCGGCCACTCGGTTCAGAGTTCGACCGGGCATGGCAGGCTCATTTCGCACCACAAATATTTACTTGTCGGCCACATTTCGCATCGACAGTTGGCGCCGTCCGTGGGGAGGACGCCGTGCGTTCACGCTTTTGGTCATCAGATGGCCCACCTTTCCACCATCTTTGGCATGGTAGGCTCGAGTGATACGATTCACTTCGGCTGCTAGAGTTTCCCACACCCCCACTTGCTGGGATGTGGGTTCCTCCTGTCTTCGAGCCGCTCCAGACTTTCCTCTTTGGGAGTCTGGACTTCGTTGCCAACCAGCTCGGTGTACTCCGCCTCTGCGAGGAGGCGCTTGTCCCGGCGCCCACTGGAGGAGGAGCGCCCTCCACCGGCCTCGAACCACTCAACAACCTTAACGTCGAGACATCCGCGCTTCGCCTCGAGCCCTCCCGGGCTCAAACCCCATGGTGGGTGATGTACATATTGTTCTTTACTCACTATTTAACACATTCCGCTGACTCTCCGGAGGGACCCTGTTGTCCCCACCGCGTCCACCGTGCGACCGGTTCCCCTATGGCTTTGTGTCCCTGGTGGATGCGTGCGCGCGGGGGCTCTGAAGGATGCTGACGCCGCCCCCTCTCATGTCCGAGTTTGTGGGGATAGCGGGCTATGCTCCCGCCTCCTTTCATGACATCGTCGATGACGAGGTTAAAAGCGACGGCTCCAGCATCGGCGACGTCGTGGCACCTGGCCACCCTCTGTCCTGAGAGTGCGCTATGGCATACGCCTCGAGATAACCACCGGTGGTAGTGGAGTCTCTGCAGATGTAACACCTCTGGTGTTTTAAACCCTAAAACATGCCATGTCATCATATGCATTGCACATCATTCTTGTGTTAGTGAAAACTTTGATATCCATTCACTAAAATAAGTTTATTTTTATGCTTATGTGTTGAATTGTATGGATGAATCGAGTTCATAACCTTTGTTTTGAATTGGATTTCAAAAACCCGAATTTCCAGCATTTTAATTCTACCCTGGAAAAACTAATTAAAAATCTAAGCATATTTTGGGGTTGAGCCTAAAAGAAAAATTGTAGATCTTGTCAATGTGTACAAAGTTGGTTTTTAGAGTTTTTAAAGTTGTTATATAAAATTTGAAGTAATTTGAAAAGGGGTAAATTTTTAAAGTGTCCCCTTTTGATTTTAAACTTGCATTTTAAAATGTAGACCAAATTAGAGTATGGTTATTAAAGCAAAGTTGTAGAACTTTGAATTTGGAACAACTTTTATTTTTGGAGATTTTTGAGTTACCATGCAAATTTGGGAGTAATTTGAGAAATTAGGCGAGTGACAATTCGGTAATTTCCTTGAACAGTGCCAGCGGGCGACACCTCATCGTCGGTGAGCTTCCACCGCGTTCCAGTCGCGCCCGTGGCCACCTCCGGCTTCGCGCTAGCATGGAGAAGCTGTTGCGCGTCGTCTCCGTGTCCTTGGCCGCGCTATAAAGCCTGAGCCGTCGCCGTCCTCCTCTGTTTTCATCTCCTCTGTTTTTCCCGTCGTCGCCGCTCAACTCCGTCGAGCTCGTGCCGTCGCCGTAGCGCCCTCCCAGTCTCAGCAAAGCATGTCATAGCTCCGCCTACTCCTTGAGAACCCATCCGACTGGTCCTAGGCGCCTGACTTCGCCGAGTTTCGCTGCACGCCGTCGTTCTTCTTCACGATCGGTAGCATCGCCGTCGACCTCGCTTCGCCGTGGCCAGCGCTCTACGGTCTATCCCTGCCCTTGCTATGCATACCTTCAGCTTCACCATGTTGCTCTGGTGCTCTGTGGCCCTTTGATTGATCCGTTCGTCCACCGCAGCCACCGGAACACCGCCGTCGACACCTACGGAGCCGCCGTGTCTGCCTTGATCGACGACGTGCTCCTCTGCTGCTCCTCTGGTTCAGTCATCAGCTCGAGCGTGTTTTGGGTGAGCTCCTGAGTCCTCCCAAGCATTTTGTTTAACCGCTACCGGCCTCGTTTTGCCAGCGTAGCACAGCCACGCCATCGTGGCCGCCATGGCTGGCGTCGAGCTCGGACCCCGTCGTAATTGGTGTAGCCAGTACCTCCAATCGATGCGTTGTGATGTGGAGAGCATGATGGTACCGTCGCTGTGGCCGGAGACCTCGCCATCGGCGAGAAATCGCCGGTCAGCGAGCATCGCCGCCGTGGTCAGCGTGGGCTGACAGTGGGACCCAATGTCAGTGACGGTTTGTTTGAAAATAGAATTTTTCTTTTTCAGAAAGGAATGAATAGTGTTAGTTTTTGTTATTTTTGTGTAGATTTAAATATAGCTCCAAAAATTATGAAAATTTTTGTGTGACCTCTCTATGACGTAAACTATTTAGGAAAAATATTAAATGTTAATTTTCTATACTTTTTTAATGTGATAAAAATTGGTCTAATTAATTAATAAATGAATTTCCATGATTTTTTTAGGCTTAAATAATTATCCAAAAATTATGAAAATAGTTTTTCCACTTAGCTATCATATGATGAGTCTTCACAAAAATTTTGAGCTCATTTGGAGAAAGTTGATTTATTTCATAATTTTGAATTATATAATTAATTCATAAAACAAATAGTAAACCTTAATGACTTAGGTTTTGTTTGAATTTTTTGAATCCTTGGTACTTAAAGTAAGTGTTTGAGTTTATGAAATAGGTTTAGTTTGTTTTTGGCTTGTAACTGTACCGTGAAAAAAAGTTGTATTCAAGTTATTAACTTTTGCATCCATCGTCAAGCATCATGTTTTATATCTCGCATCATATTAAACATGG